ACATGGTTCCTGTGAGTCGACCTAACTCAGCGGCACACAACCACCACTATTAGCTGTCAGTTCCTAAGGGTAACCATCTCCATGCCACGTCCATCCAAGGTGTTGGATGGTGTTGCAACATGTGCCTCCCTTGGTCCTTAGGAAAGGGAGCTGGAGCTGCAGAAGGAGCAGCGCCGGCAGGAGGAGAATGACAAGCTGCGCCAGGAATTTGCCCAGCATGCCAACGCCTTCCACCAGTGGATCCAGGAGACCAGGTGCCCAGCCCCCACTGTCCTCCGCCTCCTGCTCCAGATGTGGTGCAGGAGGACCTGTCTCTCCACTGCCCCGGGTGTGGCCTCTTCACCAGAGGCCTGGTTGAAATGACAAAGGAAGGGTTAGGAGGAGCACAGCCTAATCTGGCTCTGCAGCTAAGGCTGCATTCTTGAAGATGCAGGCCCCCAGAGAGTCTGTGATTGGGTGGGACTGTATTTGGCCCATGATCAGCCCCCAAGGCAACCCACTGACAGACAGTGCAGGTTAATGCAGTAGGTGGGTTCTGATGTTCTTGTGTTTTCTCTGCCCTCCCATCTCCTGATTGCTGCTGCCCTGAATATCATCTCACCTCGTCTTCGGCTGCCTGGATCTCATCGCAACAGAACATACCTCCTCGATGGGTTAATATTGTCTTTTTCTTTCCGGGTCCATGCTGTGGTGGTGTCTTGTGTGCTTGTCCCTCCATCCCCTTGTGGCCTGGCTTGCAGAGAGGGCTGTAATTCTCCTGGTCTTGTGTAGTCCCAGCCCCAACCCCATGCCTTCTTTGTCCCTGTCACTTTCCAAAGAATTTGTCTTAGCCCACAGCCCACTGTCCCTGACAGGGCCTGGGGAGGGGAGCCACTTAAGTTTTTCTGTTCAGATCCCAAGGGTTCTCATCAGGTAGGGCATATGATAGCATGCAAAACGGCAGCACTGGAGTCCAAAGTCTGAGAAGGCCCTATGCTTGTGGAGCCATTGTGATGTAGGCCTTTTGCCTCTACTCCAGCATGTCCAGCAGATTCACTTAATCCCTAGGTGAACAGTAGTAGGCATGAAAAATATTTAGCTCAGGCTGGGTGCAGTTAGTCCATGACAATACAGCTGTGAGATATTTGCTGACCCCAATTCTCCAAATGAAGACCTCTTCCTGGCTTTCCTTGGTGGTGGGGGGCGGGGGTGGGGTAAGTGTGCTGGCCCCAATAAAATGCAGTTTTACTTGGAGACAGGGCTGGGAGGAGCCAGCAGAGAGGAGCGCAGGGCTGCCCCTTTCTGTAGGTAATGACCACTCTTGATTAGAAGAGGCCAGTATTGCTGGGACTACAGTGGCTTCTGCTGGCATTTCTAGGTTTTGCAGACAGGTAAATTAGGTGTTACTGGTGGTGATAGAAGAAATCAGACTGCATATGCAAAAGGCAGAACAATAGGGATTTGGGAACTGGTTTTTCCTCCCACCCCACCTCCACCCCCAAACTAGCTGCTTGGTCTATGTGAGATGCGGCGCTCCCTTTTCTTGTGGCTCCTCCCAAGCCCTATCTGCCCTCCCTGGGCAACAGGTAGCCGACTCCGGTGCACTGCCAGCCTGGGACTTGTGGCGTGTCTGTCTTGGTGTGCTCTTGCCCCCCCCCCCTTCCTTTGGTGTATTCATTTGGTTTCTTTTCTCTGACTAGCATAGCATATCGTCGGGTCATTCGTGTCTGTCAGTATGAAGTTGGGGATGATCTGTCTGGAAGGTTTTTCTCCTCTTATTTCTCTTCTTACTTCACTGTGGTTTTACCAATGCACTCTTGACTTCCCCAGGCGGCTCCGCTTTCTGACTAACCCACCGCCCTCGGCTGCTTGGGAAGGAGGGGTTTGTCCCCCTCCCACTGCACTGACACCCAGCCTCCTGCCCCCAGGTCCTGGGGGTGTACTTTTCCCTTGGGGACAAGGCGTGACTGTGAGTCTGAGCTGCCGGGGTAGGAGGAAGCCTGGTGCCTTGCCTTGCTAGAACACTTGAACATGGGGAAATGGCAGAGCTAACCTGGTTCCGGGGTTTTTAAAAGGGTAGACTAGGGGGAAAGTGGGTACAGGATGGGGAGGCTGGGCTAAAATCCTAAGGGCACAAGCACAACGTGAACTTTTCCCTGCACACTAACCCCAACTTGTGTGTGTTGCTGTTCACTGGTGCTGTTGGGAAGGTGATGGCTCCTGGAGCCCACCTGCTCTCCAGAAGCTGGCCCTGGTTAGGGCTCCGGTTTATGGGACATGAATCCTGGAGCCATCGCCTCTTTAGGCAGTCTTGTCATCCCCCTAGAATGTGGCTCCCCTCCTCAGGGATTTCAGGGTGGCTGTCAGGCTGTCCTCCCTAATGTCTACACCGTTTGGGTACTGGAATGAGACAGAATGTCTCGGTTTCCCCCACAGCTGCAGAGGGGGCACTCTTGTCAGTCAGGTCTGCAGCTGTCTGTTCCCACAGTGGAACTTAACTCAATTCCTGAGTCATCTTCTGAGGACCTAGCTGGGTCCAAAGAGCCACATGAGAAATGACCTGCTGGGAGCAGGGAACAGATGGGGTGGGGCTCAACCCTGGCTTCCTGTCTCCAAAATGGGGAACTATTCCCTGCTTACCCAGCTCGTGGTCCAGTTAGGGAAAGAGAGCGGAGACATGGGGGCTGGAGACTGAACAGTGGTGAGTGGAGCGCTGGAGTTGCTGTCCCCCGGCTGTGTTCTCACTCTGCTTCTGTGTATAGGTCCTGCATGGTAGAAGAGTCCGGGACTCTGGAATCCCAGCTTGAAGCTACCAAAGTGAGTGTACTTCAGACCCATTAAGACCTTACCTCACCCCATCCCATCACACAGACCTGCCTGTCCCTTCCTGGCTTAAAGTCAGTGGAACAAGATGAACCCCTTGCCTTACCTTACCCCTGTTATCAACAGCTGTTCCCAGGAGCCCTCCTTGTAAGGGAGAGGCTGTCCCTCCTGTGCTCAGTCTAGGCCATTTCCCAGGCTGCTGTACACACGGGTTTGTGCCTCTCTACTTACAAGGGTCCCTCTGCTAAAGCTCTTCTAGGTTTACCTTCATCCCTCCCACCTTTAGTCATCAGCCACATATTCAGCCCTGGGGTCTGGTGATTAAGGCAGGAGCACCCCTGTCTTGCAGCGCAAACACCAGGAGATTAGAGCCATGCGGAGTCAGCTCAAGAAGATTGAGGACCTGGGGGCTGCCATGGAAGAAGCTCTGATCCTGGATAACAAGTACACAGAGCACAGCACTGTTGGCCTCGCTCAGCAGTGGGACCAACTGGACCAGCTGGGCATGCGCATGCAACACAACCTGGAGCAGCAGATCCAGGCCAGGTAACTGAAAGAATGACTGCATCCCTGCTGGGCAGAGTCAGAGCCTGTCTCTAATTCTGGTCTTCTTTCTTTCCAGGAATACAACTGGTGTGACTGAGGAAGCCCTTAAAGAGTTCAGCATGATGTTTAAGTGAGTGCTCCCCTATACCCATCCTGGGTGGGTGGATCAGTAGCAGACCTGTGTGCTGAGTAGCCCTGGGCTTTGTGCTACAGACACTTTGACAAGGACAAGTCTGGCCGGTTGAATCACCAGGAGTTCAAATCCTGCCTTCGTTCCCTGGGCTACGACCTGCCTATGGTGGAGGAAGGTGAGCCTGATCCAGAGTTTGAAGCAATCTTAGACACCGTGGATCCAAACAGGTGAGGTTCACTCAGGGTGGTGCAGGCATCCTCTGCCCTAGGCTCCACCTCTGTCCTCCCAGCTTACCACTTGTTTGCCACCCCTTCTAGGGATGGTCATGTCTCCCTGCAAGAATACATGGCCTTCATGATAAGCCGTGAAACTGAGAATGTCAAGTCCAGCGAGGAGATTGAAAGCGCCTTCCGTGCCCTTAGCTCAGAGGGAAAGCCGTACGTGACCAAGGAGGAATTATACCAGGTGTGTGACCTCTGGACCCTGGAAGACCTTCCCAGTAGCAGTCTACAGTAGCAATCTGGTTTAAGCTCTGTCCCTGTATTGGCTGTTTACTCCATCCATCCCAACTACCCTCAGAGATCTTGTCCCTATTATAAGTGAAACTCAATACTTGGTCAAAATCCTGTAACTGCTCACATAGATGTGGCCTTTAAGCTCGTAGTGTTGAGCACTTTGGGCATCACCCAGGGACTCTTAAAGATTGGCAGGAAAAAAGCTGCCCTGAAAAAGTACCTCCAGAGGATAGGCCTGGCAGCCTGTCTGAAAGGTCAGTCTTGAAAAGCCTGTGGAGCAGTCCTCCCTGACAGATCCAGGGTTACCCTGAGTCAGAATGTCTTTGAGCATGAATACCTGGGGCTTTCCCCATCTCTCTCCTCAGTGCAGGGGTGGCTGACTGACAGGTCCTTTCTTTCCCTTTCAGAACCTGACTCGGGAACAAGCAGACTACTGTGTCTCTCACATGAAGCCCTATGTGGACGGCAAGGGCCGTGAGCTCCCCACTGCCTTCGACTATATTGAGTTCACCCGCTCACTCTTTGTGAATTGATCCTCAACTCTTAGCCTGGCCCCCACCTTGCTTGTTGTTGCCTTGCTGCATGTCCACTTAGTTGTATGCTCTTAAGAAAAAATCCAGACACAGTGTTTGGTTCCAATGTAACCTTAAACCTGCTTTGCTTTGCTTGGTAAGACTTAGTAGTAAATGGTGCGTCAATTGCCCTGTTGCTGTGGGGACCCAGATTTACATCTCTAACCCAGCTGCCCTCATTCCTGCTCAGAAAAATCTAAGCAGCTGGATAGCTACTAGCTCCCTTCCACCCCCAGATTTTCTGTTTCCATGTAAAAGACCAATAAATATCTTCACTCTCCCACTAAAAGCACTGCTTTTTCTTCATTCACCTCAACACAGATACAGCCTCACACCTCTAGCATCTGGTTTGGGGACATGCCCCACCTGACCAGAGTCTCCTGGGATTCTATCAGCAGGTCTTGTCGTCCTCCTGGAGGGAGCAGGGGGACTTCAGGTGGCTGCCTCTGTTACCAGCTGGTCCAAGTCCTCTACTTCACGGGGTCCTTGTTCTGTGAACTCAGTGCTTAGCTGCCAGATTTTCACATTGCCCCTGGCATCCCCAGCTGCCAAAAGCTGAGTCTGTTGGCTATTAAATTCCAGACAGTAGACAGGGCTTTCATCCTGCGTTTGCTTGATAGAAATGGTAGGTTTTTGGGAGCTTTTCTGGAGATCAAACAGCAGCACATCACCTTCAGGGAGAGAGAGTCGTGGGATAAGTGAGATCGAGAGCAGTGGCTTCCTAAGGTAAATGTGTACTTGATGAGGACAATGAGTCTAGTCTGCAGCTCACAATAAAGCTAATGAATTCTCCTGAGTCCAATCCTCCTTCCCAGGGGTATCCACGGTTTTCACAGTTGGGTTTCTAGAGGGAAGGCAGCCTAGCCACACATGAAGTTCTACCCCACCCTAAATCCTATTTAAGAGTCCAGACCTGGCATTCCATAGCCTACCTTCCCCTGAAGCTGCTGCAAAAACCAAGGGGCGCACTGGGGACCAGCGTACAGCAAACAGGTACTTGTGAGACAGAAGCAGTGACATCAGGGGTTGGGCCTGCAGCATGGAGCACAGGTGGACGTGGCCATCGGTCCCCGCACTCAAGAAGAGGTTTCTGGATGGGATGCAGGGCAGAGAGGGAATCAAGACTGCTGGGCTGTGAAAAGCCACCCTGGTCCCCAAACCTGGGATGTGTCCTTTTCCTCCTCAGAAGAGGGACGTTCCTCAGGGCCATACCACCAAAGCTCTGAATACCGCTGCATAAAAGGAGGTTGGGGGCTTGAAGGTTTAGAAGACTAACGGCCTAGTAGGTTAAAGGTCAGTATTTGGAAGCTTCTCACCCTCACCCCCCTCATGGCCCTTTGGCTGATGGAGGAAAAGGAGACCCAGACATGGGCCACCCTCACCTGTGGAACGGGGAGCAGCTCACAGAGTAGATGGGACCACCTTGGGGAGAGAAGGTGAACTGTGCTGGGGCCCGCAGGGGCACGGAGCTGGGCATCCGCATGAGGGCTGCCTCCTCTGCAGCCAAAGAACACTTGAGAGGGAAGCCACCTTCAGTGCCCACAACAAACAGGCTGGGGTCAAAACTGGAGAAATCCACAGCCGTGACACCCACTTCCATCTCACCCCGGGTAGACTGTAGAGAAAGGGCAGCAGGATCAGGGCCAGGGAGCAGCACCATGCCAGCACAGGTCACAGAGCATGTCAAGTCAGCTGGTGCACCGGCTGCATACTGTCACCCCCCAGGGCTCACGCGCACGGCAGCCAAGCACCTTCTTCAGCTTGGTGTTCCTCGGGAGCTGCTGCACAGCCAGCGCAAAGCCCTCAGTGAGTTGCAGCAGGCCTGTGCCAAGCCCCTGCCAGAGCAGCACCTTTCCGTCAGTGGCCACACTCAGAAGCTGGAAGAGGTGACTAAATCGAGGCCCAGGCAGCCAAACCACCTGAGACAAGAGGATGGCAGAACAAGATGTTGGAAAAAGGGATGCCTGTCTTGTCTGTGTCCCAGACCCCACCTCCCCTTCTCTCGCAGGGGAGGCCAGGAGGTGGCATGGGATTCCAGGTCCCTCCCCTAGTCCAGAATCCCAGTGCCAGCTAGAAGCCAGGGCCAGGGAGCCACTCCCTACAGCTCCCATCTAGGGTGGTCATGGCATCTCATGCCACTGAGGGTGGGAAGGTGATGAGTCAAGCCACAAGGGCTTCAAGTGACCTCCTTTTTTGAGAGTGGCCAGCTACTCTACTCGGGGGCCCTCCCTTCAAGTATGAGGTCCCAATCAATAGCAAGGGAAGCTCAGAGAAAGTGGGGAGAGCTCACCCCAGCCAGGCAGGCCTGCCACTCTGACCTGGTACACAGGGTCCGTGTGTGTGTCGTCTGTCAGGCCTGTGCGCCAGAGCAGCGAGTCCTCCTGGCGGCTCACATCCCACACCAGCACCTCACCACTGTACAGCCCTCCTGTGGAGACCACATCTAGACCTGGGCTTCCCCACCAGCACATACCCACTCCCTGCCACCCCTTGAGGCAAGACCTGAAGCGTCCCCAAAGCTGACCGCAAGGTCCAACCCCTTTTGTTTTCCCACAGCCTAGCAACCCTCCAACCTGCTACCAGGAGACCCCCTTGCACTGTACCCTGCCCACCCCTCCAGCACCTTGGCCCCTTCCCCAACATACCACACCACCTACAGCTCCCAAGGAAGCCGGCTTCCTCTGTCTTGTCCTGACTGCAAACTGTTGGGTGGGCTCAGCACTGGCTCTCAGCCACGACCCTTTGAGACTCAACTGGGGACTCGGCTTCCAAATCCCCTCAGCTGTGTCCACTAGAGCACCTTCACTTAGTTCAAATCTGTCTCCCAGGAGACCTGCCCCCTCGGTGGTCATGGGGGACACAGAAACCCAGGTGGCTCACCTGCAATGATGGCTGGCTGTGAGGGGTGGAAGGCCAGACACATGACTGCACTGGGCACCTCTACCACTGCAGCCGGCTGCTGTGGGCTCAGGCTCCGGCGGTCCAGGTTCCAAGTACACACAAAGGACTTCAACATGCTCCAGTCCCCATCGTCCAGTCTGTGCAGCAGGGACATGCCTCAGCTGGCCCTACTCTGGGCCCATGCTTCATCCAACATCCACCCCAATGTCTCACTCACTGATTCTGAACAGAATAAACTCTCCTCATCACACCAGGCCCTGTGCCCTGGGCATCTAAGTGGCACAGGTTCTTCCAGGGCACTCCAAAGATATGGGTTTCTCTGGAAAAGGGTCCCCAGGACCCAACAACACATCTGCCTACCTCCACAGCAGTGGGTGGGGTAGGGGAACCTAGGGGCATCAAAAACAGGCAAAAGACACTCAGAGAAGCTAAGACAGGGCCCAGACAGTCAGCATGCCCAGTGTTGGCAAGTGAGCTCAGGAGTCCTGGGCTCCCAGCCCCACCCTCCAGCCCCAACAAGGCCAATCCTTGAGAGGTTCCCAGAATATCCAAGCTCTCTGGACAATTGCTTCCCCGTGAAAACAGGGAGCCCAAGGCCCAGACAAGTGAGCTTGGTCTTAGGGTTTCTCACTGCCCGCTTCCCACCCTGCTGTCACTTACCGGCCGTAGGCACAGGCGACTACAGAGCCAGTGGTGTTCCAGGAGATGCTGGTCACGTGCAGACCCTGCCCTTGGGCTGGGGGGTAGTACAGAGTGTGCAGGCAGGACACCTGCAGGAAACAGGTCACCCCAGCCCTAAGCTCCAGGACAGCCTCCCCCCCCGGCCCCCCAATGGCCTCCTAATAAACACCACACATAGGCTGCTGCTGTTGTTAGTACTGTTAAGTCAGTTCTGACTCAGGGACCCTGTATAAGGTTTCCAAAGAGCAGCTGGTGAGTTTGAGCCACTGACCTTGTGATCCAGTGCATTAGCCCACAGCGCCACACCAGAACTCCAGCCTAGGGCTGTCTAAAGCCCTAAAAGCTACTTAAGTCCACTGCCCAGTCCTGGAGGAGACATGGAGCCTTTATCCCATCATCCCCCTTACCAGAGATCCTTCCGGAAACCCAGAAGGAAGGGCCTTGAGAACAGAGTACAAAGGAGGCTCCAACCCAGAACCATGGCCTGTTCTCACATCCATCCGACACAATTTACAACACCTTGGCATAACTGCTCAGCCCAGAGCAGCCCAGAAGCAGCAAATGAGAAGGACTGACAACGCTGGCCACAGGAGAAGTGGGCACCACCTTTCCAGAAGTAGTTACATCACAGCGCCACATAAAGGGACTGCCCAATGGGAAAAAACCCAACATCTGCAAAAAACAATCTGGTGGGGACCCTCACACCCTGCTTCTTGTTGTTGTTGTTGTTGTTAGGTGCCCTGTATAGGGTCACTATGGGTCAGCATCGACTCCACAGCACTTAACAACAACAACACACCCTGCTAGAAGGAAATAAGATGATGCATCAGCTTTGGAAAACAGTCCAGCAGTTCTTCAAACAGTTCATTGTATCATTGTTCTTGTTAAGTACTGTCAAACTTAGTACCCACTCATAGCAACCTGTCTAGAGCCTGAGGAGCAGCTGATGGACTTGAACCAATGACTTTGTGGTTAGCAGTCCAATGATTATCCTATAGTGCCACAACTTTATCATTGCTAAATGCCACTGAGTTGACTCCAATTCATAGTGACCCTGTATAGGGTTTCCAAGGAGCAGCCGGTGGATTTGAACCACTAATGTTGTGGTTCACAGTCCAGTGCTTATCCTACAGCACTACACCAGGAGTCCTCAACATACCATATGCTCTAACAATTCTACTTCTAGGTACACACCCAAGAGAAATGAAAATCTATGTCCACACAAAAACTCGTATGTAAGTGTTCATAGCAGCATTACTCACAACTGACAAATGGTGGAAACAACCTAAGCATCCATCAGCAGATGAACAGAGAAACTATGTCTACAGCGCTGACCCATGATGCTGAGTAGAAGCAGCAGCCAGTCAGAAATGGTCACACACTACGAGACTCTATATGACATGTCCAGAACAGGCAAATCCAGAAAGTAGGTTCAGGGTTGGCAAGGGTCAGAGATGCCAGGGCAAACAGAGTGTGACAGCTAGTGGGTACAAGGTTTCTTTGGGGGATGATAAAAATGCTCTGAAAAAGAGAAAATGACACCAGAGATGGAGGCAGAGATGATGACATGGAGAAGTAGAGCGGCTGAGGACTCTGGACTCAGGGAGGGAAAGGGTCTGTGAGTTGATGGCTGGGAGGCAGGCTTGCAGGGTATACCCTTTGGCTGTTTGATGATGCATGGAGGGGACTGTAATCATTGCAATGAAATGAAATGTAAAGTTAATGTTCTCCCATGGAAACTATCACATAACTCACAATAAAAACTTAAAAAAATTCTGAAATTGACTATTGCGACAGTGACACAAATCTGTGACTCACTGAAAACCAGTGAATTGCACACTTTCAATGAGTAAATTGCATGGTATGCAAATTATATTTCAATACAGCTATTATTTTAAAACAAGCTACAAAGGAGGTATGAGGTGGAAGGGATAAAATGTGGGCTTTGGGGATCTGGTAATGTTCATTTTTCTTTTCTGGGTTCTGATTCCACAAATGTTTACATTTGTGGAAAGGTGTGATCCTGCACACTTGTAACGTGTTTACTTATTCATGATTTATTGTGGTAAATGGTTCATTATAAAGCAGGTCTTTAGGTTGTCATTTATAATCACAACGATCAGATACATACACCTTGAAATCTAAGGGTGGAAATGCTGCATGGCATCCACCATGCCAGGGATGATCTGCTTCACCCGGCCCCGACTCAACGCCCCCAGGAGGGCATCTGGAAGAATTTTGAGCTGCTGCCCACGCCCCACCATCGCCTAGCTGTGCCTTTCCAGCCAAAGCCCCCAAACTGGGCTACCCAGATGATGCTGCCTAAGGTTGACCTGTGGGGTAACCTGGCTGAGGAGGACGTGTTTGGCTTGTGGGGATTGGGTGGTCTCACCCCCAATCGGGTCATCCTCCAGGACTGCATGTGGAGTGGCTTCTCTGCTCAGGAGAAGCTGGAGCATGCTGTGAGTGAGAAGCTGCAGCACAGTAGTGGGGCGCCCGCAGCCAGCACTGCAAGCTCGGCCTGGGGTTGCAGGCCACCCTGCCAGCTAAGCTCACCCACCCGGCCAGCAAGTGCATAGATTCTGCCTTGGTCAACAAGGTGGAAGCCAGAGCCTGTGCCAGCTGTCCCATTTGTTGCACGAGTGGCAGAGGTCACTGTGCCCCCTGTACCCAACTAGTACTCAGATAGCCACCCATCCATCAACGCTGACCAGTACTTTGGAAGAAGACACCCTCAGTGACTCAGATGATGAAGACGACAACAAAGAAGAGGAAGAAGAGGAAACTGACATGGTCACAATGGAGAAGTGACGTTCCTCCTCCAACAACAAGGCTGTCACAACCTTCACCATCACAGCACGTCCCAAGAACCCAGCTCTAGGCCCTGGGAGGGCTCAGTCAGGTGCTCTGATCCTCAAACACTGTATCCCCACCCCATCCACCAGCAACACAACTATGCCACCCCCTCACCCTGTGTGGAGAGTGAGGAGGCACCATCCCAGAAGAAGAGTAAGAGCGAAGTGTTCCTGCTTCCTCTCAAGACATTGCTCCCCCAAAGGCTAAGAGCTTAAGCCCCCACAACTCTGACTCAGAAGACAGTGGGCGTCACGGCAACCACAACATCCTGGAGCACCAACAACACAAAGACCTGTGGTCCAGCTTCCTCACACTCAGGGACTATGAGCCAGAGTTGGTGAGGAACAAGAAGGCTACCAAGGTGGTCATTTTGAAAAATGCCACAGAGTACGTCCACTCCCTTCAGGTAGAAGAATATCAGCTTTTGCTGGAAAAGGAAAAATTGCAGGCAAGACAGCAGTAGTTGCTCAAGAAAATTGAACAACAACAAAAAAAAGAAAACTGAACATGCTTGGACTTGCTAGTTTCTCGAAACTAGACAGTCATTGCCATTTTGCACATTTTGATCTTTTAAAAGAACAAATACTGTGTTGAACATTAAGAATGTTGGTTTACTTTCAAATCAGTCTCCTGTCAAGTTTGGATCTAGGTGGGGAGTAGAACAAGTGGTGGTTTCTGCCAGAACCTTAGGTCTTAGGTCTGCTTGATTCAGCCTTTGCAGTTTCCTCTTCCACGTCACATCTGAGTAGTTTGTGACAAAATCTTTTGAGGCTGAATTCACCTTATTCCAAGTTTCCAAACAAAGTTATTCCTTCTTTTTAAAAATGATGCATAAGTTCCAGCAGATGTCACTTAAGGGGTTTGCCATTTGATACCCCTGAGGAACATTTCCGTAAATGCCACTGACAACACTGCCTTTTGTACAGGTCTGGGGGTAATGAGAGGTGGCTTTTGTGACAATATTAGACTGGAAGTTCATACCTAAGTACTCAATGTTTGAGGAGCATGTTTTGTTTTGTTTT